GGGGTCGGGAGGGTGGGCGGGAAGGGGGCCGGGCAGGGTGTGGGGAGGGCAGGTGGGTGCTGTCTCCCAGAGGGGTCTGGTGAGGTAGTGACGGGGAGGAGGAGGGGCCTGGGCCCTTCAGCGGAGCTGCTGCCGGGATCTGGGCAGGGGAGGGAGGGAGAGGGGAGGGGGCGGGGTCAGAACCAACCTTGGCTCCCATTGCCACAAGACGCTGGGGACCCCGGCCACTCCCACCAGAAACCCCCCTTCTCAGCCACCCCTTGTCCCACCTGTTTCTCAACCCCCCACCTCACTCTTCCACCTCTGTCCCCCCACCTCACCCCTGCACCGGTCCCCCTCACCCCTCCACCTCCTTCCCCAACTCACCCCTGCACCCATCCCCCACCTCTCCACCCGTCCCCCACCTCACCCCTGCACCCGTCCCCTACATCACCCACGCACCCGACTCCCACCTCACCCCTGCACCCGTCTGCCACCTCACCCCTGCACCCATCCCCAACTTCTCCACCTCCATGCCCACCTCACCTCTGCACCCATTCCCCACCTCTCCACTCGTCCCCTACATCACCCTTCCACCCGTCCCTGACCTCACCCTTCCACCCGTCCCCCACCTCAGCCCTGCACCCGTCCCCCACCTCACCCTTGCACCCGTCCCCCACCTCACCCCTGCACCCGCCCCCCACCTCTCCACCTGCCCGCCACCTCACCCCTCCACCCGTCCCCTACATCACCCCTGCACCCATCTGCCACCTCACCCCTGCACCTGTCTTCCCACCTCACCCCTGCACCCGTCGCCACCTCACCCCTGCACCCGACCCCCACGTCACCCCTGCACCCATCCTCCACCTCTCCACCCGTCCCTCACCTCACCCCTGCACCCGTCCCCCACCTCACCTCTGCACCTGTCTTCGCACCTCACCCCTGCCCCTGTCCCCAACTCACCCCTGCACCCGTCCCCCACCCATCCACCCGTCACCCACCTCACCCCTCCACCCGTCCCCTATATCACCCCTGCACCCGACCCCCACCTCACCCTTGCACCCATCCCCCATCTCTCCACCCATCCCCCACTTCACCCCTGCACCCGTCCCCCACCTCACCCCTGCATCCATCCCTACCTCACCCCTGCACCCGTCCCCCACCTCAACCCTGCACCCGTCCGCCACCTCACCCCTGCACCCGTCCCCCACCTCACCTCTGCACTTGTCCTCATCTCACCCCTTGGCCCGTCTCCCACCTCACCCCTGCACTTGTCATCTCACCTCTTCACCCATCCCCCACGTCGCCCCTGCACTCATTCCCCCCTCACCCCTGCACCTGTCCCCACCTCCCCCTCCATACCTCTGCCCTCTCATCTCAGCCCTCCCCAATCCCCCCAGATGAAGGCAGCCCTGCAGGATTTGGGGGGCAGCAGCAGAGGAAGCAGCGGCGGCGGCGGGGGCACCACACTAGCTGCCCAGCGGGGAGAGGGGGCCAGGGAGCGCGAGCACAGCAGCAAGAGGAAGGAGGCGGCTGGGCGGGTCCGTGTCCCGGCCGCCAGCCCAGCCTGAGCGTCCAGCTCACCCACGACAACAGACAGCAGCGGAGACGCCGTGGCTGCGTACCGGGGTGTGGGGCCGATGGCTGTGGAGGGCATGGGGGAGGGGGCATGGGGACCGGGGACCCAGGAGCCAAGGATAAAGATTGAGACTGAGGAGCAGGGCCAGGCCCCCTCTAAGTGTCCAGGGCCTCTGCCTCCGTGTGCCTGTGTGGCTGTGGCTGCAGGCCTGTCTAGGTGCCACGCGAGCCTGCAGGTAGGTGTGTGTGTGCGCGCGCGCGCATGGGCATCAGAATTGCACACACGATCTGGGCACTAGTTCTGTAACACGTACACAGCGACCTCGCCTAGAACATGCCTCAGCCAGAGTGCCTTGCCCCTCTGCACTCCCCTCCCCGAGATCACCTCCCCAAGCACTATAACCTTGGCAGCCGCTGTTTAACCAGGAGTGCCAGCTGTGTGCCCAACACAGCTGTGTGAACAGCAACAGTTCACACTGACCCGGCACGTACGGCTGCCCACTTGCCCCCACTCATGTGGTCTCTGCATGGCCCTGAGAACTGTGATGATATTGAATCCATTTCACAGATAAGAAACTGAGCCTGGGAAGCCAAAATGCCTGGTCCAGAGTCTCCAGACAGGGAGAGGCGGACCTTGTGCTGGTCGTCTCCCTGCCTTCCGGCTACTCAGTGACTTCAAAGCTGACGGAGGAGGACTCAGGCCCAGAGGGCTTAGGGGATTTGCCACCCGATGCCACCACGCAACAAAGCTGGGGCCCTTTGCTTCAAGCCTCCAAAGTGGGCCGACTCGTGATTTCAGAGTTCCGACTTGGTTGAAGCCTCCAGGCTTGGCCCTGAATAACTCTAGCAATTCAAAATAAAAAATCAACCAAGCAATCAATCTATACATCCCCAGAGGCGTGCCACCTCTAAGGACAGATCAGAAGGCCAGCCTTCAACTCTCAGGGGGCTGGTGAGCTTGTCACCTGGACAGCCCTCCAGAAGGCAGTTTGACCTGGTGACTTTGAAAGGGCCATGACCTTTGACCTGGCATTCTCCCCTCCAGGAATCTGTGATACAGAGCATTCAGGCACTGGCTCACAGGGCTGCCCACTGTGGGGGTATTTACAATAGAGAAAATAGGAAAACACCCAGCTGGCCAGCAGCAGGTGAGCAGCTAAGTGACTAAGGATGAGAGAGCTGGCCCATCCACACCACTCTAACACACGCTTCCAGGGCTTGGTGAAGGGGCTGACACACACGTGCTAAAATGCCGAGTGAAACAAGAAGAATAAGACACTACATGATCGCTGGACAACTGGAAAAATTGCATTATGGACAGTGGATTTGATAACAATATTGTCTCAATGCTAAATTTGCTGAATTTGATAACTCCACTATGGTTAAGTAAGAGTACGTTCTTGTTCTTAAGGGCTGAAATATTAAGGAGCAAAGGAGCATAATGTCTATAATTTACTCTAAAATGATTGAGGAAACAAAATATATACATATTGAGAGAGCTAAGGATAAAGCAAATGTAGCGAAATATTTACAGTGGGTGAATCTGATGAGGCAGCCAGCTTCCAAATGGGCCCACAACAATCCCCGCCTCCTCATAGTCAGTCTCCGCCCACAACGTACCATAGCTGGTCTCTGTGACGAATAGGATATGGCGGAAGTGATCATATGCTAATTCCAAGGTTAGGTTATAAAAAAGACTGCAGCCTGCAGCCTGGGCGCTCTCCCACTCTCTTTCTGTTCGATCATTCACTCAGGGGAAGCCAACTGCGGAGCATGTTATGAGCTACCCTTTGAAGAGGCCCGTGTAGGGAGGAGCTGAGGCCCCCTGCCAACAGCCATATGAATGAGTGGTCTTGGAAGCAGATTCTCCAGCCCAGACAAGCCTTCAGATGACTGCAGCCCCGGATGACATCTTGACTATACCTCATGAGAGATTTCAAGCCAAAACCCTTCAGCTAGGGCACTTCCAGATTCCTGACCCTTAGAAACTGTGTGAGGTAAGTTAATGTTTGTTGTTTTAAGCAGCTAAGTTTTGGGGTAATTTGTTACACAGCAATAGAGAACTAATACATCTGGGTAAAGAGTAAAGAACTCCCATGAGTTCTCTGTACTATTCTCACAACTTTGCTATATGTTTGAAATAATTTTAAAATGAAGTTAAAAAATACCCAAAAATTTAATAAAAAAACTTTTTTTAATCTGTTCTCATTAGGGGCTGACCCCATGGCATAGCGGTTAAGTGTGTGCGCTCCACTGCTGGCGGCCCGGGTTTGGATCCTAGGCACGCACCGATGCACCGCTTGTCAAACCATGCTGTGGCGGCGTCACATATAAAGTGGAGGAAGACGGCCACAGATGTTAGCCCAGGGCCAGTTTTCCTCAGCAAAAAAAAAGAGGATTGGCATGGATGTTAGCTCAGGGCTGATCTTCTTCACAATAAATAAATAAATAATCTGTTCTCATTAAAAATGCAGAGACAGGGGCCGGCCCCATGGCCTAGTGGTTAAGTTCGGCACAATCCACTTTGGCAGCCCGGGGTTCAGTTCCCAGGCATGGACCTACACCACTCATCAGCGGCCATGTTGTGGCGGCAACCCAGATAAAAAATAGAGGAGGATTGGTACAGATGTTAGCTCAGGGACGATATTCTGCACCCAAAAATAGGAAGACTGGTGACAGATGTTAGCTCAGGGTGAATCTTCCTCAGCAAAAAAAAAAAAAAAAAAAAAAGCAGAGACAAATACATACACATGCACACACACACACACACACCCACAAACCAAGTCAAAAACCAAATGAAATACTGCTGGAAATATCTGCAATTCATAACTCAAGTTCATTTTTCTTATATATAAAGAGCCTCTAGAAATCACTAAGAATAACAACCAGTGAGAAAAGGGGGGCCAAGGATATGATGAGATAGTGCACAGAAAAGGAAACACCAGAGGCTTAAGTATTTCAAGAGATGCTCAACCTCACTTGTAATAAGAGAAATGCACATCTACAGAACCCTATGGAACCATTTTCACTCATCACATTAGGAATAAGCCATATGTCTCATAAAGACACTCTCGTATATGGCCTGTAGGGGTCTAAACTGGTACAATTTGCTACAACTCCAGACAAACGCCCTTCAGCAGCAGCTATCCAAATTATAAGCCCACATTTGCTCTGATCCAGCAAATAGGCTTCCAGGAAGCGACCAGACAGATACACCTGCACGTGTGGGAAATGAGAGGTGCACGAGTTGCTTCCTACAGCTCTGAGGGAGGGTCAAAGCCTGGGCGTGGTCCTGGGCATCGGTGCAGCATTCACTGGGGAATGAACCACAGTCCATCCCTGTTCGTACAGAGGAACACTTCATGACTGTAACAAAGGACCGAGGATACTGTCCAGCTGCTGTCAGAGTAAGTGCATCATGTGGCACCTTCCGGGTAAAGAGGAAGGGGAGAGAAAAGTTAATTCACATTTGCAGCAGGCTGTATACGCACACAGAGCTGGAGGGATGTACACAAGATAAGTCACTGTGGTTGTCTAGAGGGGCACGTGGGCTGGGAATCAGACGTGGGTGGGATGCTTTCCCCTGAACTTTTAAAAAAGCTTCTTGATGACTGAACCCTGTGAACATAAAACCTAATTTAAAAAACGAAAAACGTTTTAAATGGATGGGAAGAAAAACAAAAAGGCTAAGAGAAAACGTCACACCAAAAATGTCACCAGCAGCTTCTGCACGGTGGTGTTGTGGGCGATTTATTTCTCTTCTTTGTTCTTTGTTGTATTTTTAAAATTCTCTAAATGAGCAGGACATTATTTTTATAATGACTTTTTAAAAACTTCCACATGAGTGGAATGTTTACCAAGAGATTCCAACTGCCCATGTGTAGACAGCAAGATGCTCAACTTCAAGCAGAATGAAAGTGCGGGAGGGGAGGTGTTTTTCTGCCTGGCGGGGAGCAAGCCGGCTGCCGGAGGAAGCCTTCATTGGCACAAACCTCACGGTGGAGCAACAGGTCTAGCACTTTCCATAAAATGTTTGGAAAGAGCATATACCCTCTGATTCAACAACTCAATTTCTACAATTTACCCTACAGGTATTTTCACACATATGTGCAAAGCCGGGTACAAGAATATTTATAGGAGTGGGTTTTTTTTAACAATTACATGGGAAACCACCCTAGGTACTCACGAATAGGGGACTGAATAAATAAGTCATGGTGTGTCCATATAATGAAATACAGTCAAAATGTGGCAAATTACAGCCCACAGGCCAAATCTGGCCTGCCTCCCCCTTGGCCTACCATTTTGTATGGCCCACGAGCTAAGAATAGTTTTTATATTCTTAAATGGCTGAAAAGAAATCAATAAAAGCATGCTATTTTGTGACTCATGAAAACGATATGAAATTCAAATTGTGTCTACAATAGAGTGTCCACAAATAAAGTTTTATTGGAACACGCTCCTGCTCATTGATTTCTGTGTGGTCTACAGTCATTTCTTCTTGTTCTTCTTCTTTTTTTTTCTTTTGAGGAAGATTAGCCCTGAGCCAACATCTGTTGCCAATCCTCCTCTTTTTGCTGAGGAAGATTGGCCCTAGGCTCACGTCCGTGCCCATCTGCCTCTACTTTATACGTGGGATGCCACCACAGCATGGCTTCAAAAGTGGTGTGCAGGTCTGCACCGAACCCGTGAACCCCGGGCCACTGAAGCAGAGCGTGTGAACTTAACCGCTATGCCACCAGGCTGGCCCCTCTACAGCCACTTCTGCGTTATAATGACAGAGACCCACAAAGCCTAAAATGTTCACTATTGGCCCTTTATAGAAAGTACTGGCCCTTTATAGAAAGCGTGCCTGGCTTCTCTCACTGTGTAGGACTTTCAACATGCCCCACTTTGTTCTAGCACTTTACACATATTAATTTATCCCTGACAACAAACCCATGAAGTAGATACTGTTATTTTCATCTTCATTTTACAGCTAAGGAAATGGAGGCACAGAGAGGTAAGCGACTTGCCGAAGGTCACAGAGCCTATAAGTGGCAGTCGGGGTTCCAGAGTCCCTGATCCTCACTACCACTCCCCAACAACTCTCCGGGATGGTGGTTTTCAAACCACGCCTAGCGCCCACGGGTAACGGCTCCTCTCATCTCACTGTGGTGCACGCAGCACAGGGAGGGTGCTCAGATGCGTGGTTGGGTTCCTGCCTCCGTTCATTTATTCAATAAAAGCTCACGGAGCATCTGCTGTGTGCCAGGCACTGTTCTGGGCGCTGGGGACACAGCAGGGACAGAGCTGCCACAACTCTCTGCCCCCGTGGAGTTTACACTATAGCAAGGACAACAAGACAGCAGACAAGGAAAATATGCAGGCGCTCAGATGGTGTGAGCGCTATGGAGAACTATACAGCAGAGAAGATGGCAAGGGAGGCCGGGCTGTGCGAGGGAGCAGGCTCTAGTCTGAGACGAAGTGCCTGGGGAGGGTGGGAAGGAGTACATGGCGTGACCAACTTGTTCCATTTGCCCGAGACTGTCTCCGTTTTATAACTGAAGGTCCTGTCTCCCAAGAACCTCCCAGTGCTGGGTAACTGGGATGGCTGGTCACCCAAGGAGGGAGTCTAGACAGGCACCTCACATTCAAGTGTCTGCAGAGTGTGCAACAGTGAAATGGCAGAGAACCAACGTGCCCCAGCCTGGCTCTCAGCCCCAGTGCTCGGGGAGGGGAAGCCACTTGCCGGAGGGACCAGGCCCACGTCTGACCCACTCTAGGAACAGTGCTGCCACTTGAGTCTCTCATGGGCCAGGTGGCCCCTCCCCCCGCCCCTCCCCCTGCCCGTTTCTCCTCCCTCTGCAGAGATGACCTGATGCTATCTTGTCTCCATGTCCCCCTGGACTAGACCCACGCTCGACCCATAACAACAACAGCTAAAATAATAACAGCAGATATTTCTCAAGTGCTTACTCTGTGTGAAGCATATATTAACTCGTTTACTCCTCCTAATAGACCTATAAGAAACTGTTACTCCCATTCTCCGGATGAGGAAATCGAGGCTCAGCAGTTGTAGGAACTTGCTCAGGGTCAAGGCCTGGCACACAGTAAGCGCCCCCTTCCCCAAACATCTGTTGATGGAAGGAAGGAACTGGCTGCTTAAAGTCACATGGGAAGTAGCAGAGCCTCAAAGTGAAATCATGGCAGTTTAAGGCCCAAGCCCAGCTGATTTCTGCCATCCCTCCTCTTCCTCCTATCCTAATCTATCTATCCACTGGTCCTTCTTGAGCAAGTAAAATATCCACCCCTCCAGAATAAAAGGTGGCCCTCCCTACCCTCTCATGGGCTTATGACTCATAAGAGACAAAGGCTAATTTTCCTAATATGTAAAGAGTTCCTACAAATCAACAAGAAAATGACCAGCAACCCAAATTTTAAAATGGCAAAGGGTATGAACAGGAAATTCCATAGAAAAGAAAACACGTATAGCCCTAAATCTATAAACACCTGCCCAGCCCCATTCATAGTAAAAGAAATGCAAATTCAAATGAAACGAGATACTGTTCTTCACCTACCAGATTGGCCAATTTCAATACATTGCTGAGGTTGTGAGAAAACAGGCACAGATCATACATTGCTGATATAGGCTAAACCAACTGCTACTCCATAGAGGGCAACTTGGCAAAATCTGTCAAAACTATAAATGCATATGCTCCTAGACAGACCCAGCACCTTCCTTTTTAAGAACTTATCCTACAAAGTAATATATGTACAGATTCATTCTCTACAGCCTTGCTCATAATAGCTAACGACTGGAAGTGACCCAAATGCTCACCAACAAGGACTGGTTAAATAAACAGCACATCCACAGAATGGAATACTATGCAGTCATGTAAAAGAAAAAAGTACAGTCTCCAAGATGAATTTTTCAATGATGTAAGCAAGGTGTAAAACTGCCTGCAGATTATGCTCTTGTTTTTGTAAAAACAGGAGAAAAAGAATCCAGATATCATTTTTGCTCGTCTGTGCGTGGAAAAGGATGCAAGAAACTGCCTCAGGGAGGGACAGCAGGAGTCTGCGGCTCTGGAGAGGGGGCTTTCATCTAGATCTTTCGGTATCTTGAAATGTGAACTATCTGAATGTATTCCTTATCCAGATGTGAAAATGATAATTTTAGGAAATAATCAATCATCTGCCATGTGTATCTTGTGTCCCTGCCTAGAATGTGGGCTCCCTCGGGGCTGGCCCTGGTCTCAAGTGTCCACGACTGTCAGGACCCTCAGGAAATATCCGGGGAGGAAGGAGAGCGCCGTTTCCCAAGCCAGTGAGACAGAGAGGCAGCAAGGCAGCCAGAGAGCGAGGAGGAGCGGGGAGAGGGGGCGAGGGGCAAGGCTGGTCTGAGCTAGGGCAGCGGCTGCTGGGTTCATCTACCTGGGGGGCCGGCGCCGGGGCAGCCTGGCTGTCGGGGGCCTGAGGGCCGAGGCCAGCTCCTTTGGCGACAGGGGTGGTCAGGGCTGGGTCTTGGGCGGGAGGCGGGGCGCTGACTATGACCGAGGCGGGCACGGAGAGGTGGGGGCCCTCTGCGGAGAGGGGCTGCTGGCTCCTCTCCTGAAATGGGCAGCCCACACAGGGTCAGAAGGTCACCCCCGTGGACCCGCAGCCCCCCCACCCCGAGACCCCCGTCCCCACTGATGCTCCAGAGAAGCAGGGGTGGGAACCGGACAGGACGGGCACCGAGAGGCTGGCACAGAGGCCCACGGGACCGGGACCCCTGGGTTCCAGGCGCCGGGGGAGCTGCAACCCAGGCAGCTGGTCCCACCGCGTCCCTGTCAGTCGCCCTCCATCTCTCCCGCCCCGTCTGTCTGTCCATGTCTTGCCTACCCTCTGTGACCCCTCTCCAATCCTCTAATAGGAGGGCAGTCTGTCTGCTAGTCGGCCAGTCGGTCCTCCTTGTCAATCTGTCAGCCAGCCAGCCGTTCACTCTCTGTGTCTGTCTGTCTGTCAGTCAACCAGTCCCTCTCCTTGTCAGTCTGTCAGAGGGTCCATCCCCTTGTCTGTCTGTCTCCCTGTCACCCTCGGCCTCCTCCTAAGGGACGTCCCTACCCAGAGCAAGGGTGCCACCTCCGAGACGCTCTCCCTAGCCCCCGAGACCATCTCCAGTCGCTGCCTTGGCTATACCCAGTTAAATCTGATTTCAGCTCGGGGCCCCTCTCCACGCACAGCCCCTGCCCCCGTGGCCCCTCCTCCCCGCCGCCCGCCCTGGTTACCTGGGGCAGGAACATCTGCAGGGAGTCCTGAGTGAGGATGGCCGTGGCGGCGGCAGAGGGTGGCTGCCCCAGGACGATCTTCTCTGGGCTGGACGCCAGGCCTGGGCTGGGCTGGGGGGTGGTGGCCTGAGGCGGGGCGGCGGCCTGAGGGGTGGGGGCCTGCGGGGGCTGCTGCTGCGCCTGCGGCTGCTGGAGGCCCAGAGGCAGCGGCGTGCTCACCGCAGGGGGCACCTGGGGGGCCGTCTGCACCGTGAGGACAGGCGCGGCCTCCCCGGCGGCGGCGGCAGGGGTGGCCGGCTGCACCAGCCCGTCGGGGGCGTTGAGCATGGCCACGGCGCTGGGGGGCAGAGTGACCCCCTGGAGGACGGTGGCGGCGGCGGGGCCGGTGGGCGCCGGCTGGCTCTGCGTGGGCAGGCTGCCTGCGGCCAGCGACACGGGCATCTGGAAGAGTGCCGGCTGGCCCACCTGGATGGGGGTGGCCGAGAGGATGTGGGCCGCGCTGTGGGCCCCGGAGTGGGGCGCCAGCACGGGGCCCAGGCTCAGCGGGCCCGCCAGGTTCTGGTTGGTGAGGATGGGGTTGGCGATGAGCTGTCCGCCCGCGTGGGGGGCCGCGGCCAGGATCTGCCCCCCCACGTTGGCCGGCAGGGCCGAGAGCGGCTGCGGCAGCTGCACCGCGGAGGCGCCGGGCAGCAGGAACTGGTTCTGGCCGGGCAGCATGTGCGGGGCGGGGATGACGATGCTGCTGCCTTGGTTCAAGAGGTGGACGCTCATGGGCTTGCTCAGGGCGCCGGGGGGCTGCGGCGGGGCGGCCCCCGTGGTGGTGGCGGGAGGCTGCTTGAAGACGTTGGCCTGCAGGGCGGGCGCCGGGAAACCGGAGAGCACCACGTTCTGGCCGGCCTTGCCCGCAGCCATGAAAGTCAGGTTCTGGGGGGGCTTGGGCGGCTGCGGGAGGCCCCCCGTCTCGCCCTGGATGGTGAGCGTGGCGCCCGCGGGGGCGAACGGCTTGGGGGTCAGCTGGTAGAGCTTGGGGGGCAGCACCCCGGCGGGCTTGGGCTGGATGGGCGTGGGCGTGCGATGCAGGATCACGTTGGGCGCCGGGACCAGCGGGGACGTGCCAAGGCCTGGGGCCACCGCCAGTGGCTGCCCGGAGGGTGCCCCGCCGGCCGCCGCTGTGGCCGCTCCCGCCCCTCCAAACACTGAGTTCCCGTTGAGCGTGGTGGCCACGGCCGCTGGAAGGTTCTTCTGGATGACCAGGCCAGCCCCCTGGGGCGAGACGCCAGCCGATGCCAGGGTCACCGGCTCTGAGGGGCCGGCCGCCGAGGCCAGATAGCCACTGACAGGCACCTGCTTGGCCAGGAGCTGGGAGGTGGGCGGGTTGAGTGCCATGACGGGCTGGCCCACCACTTGGATGGGTGCCAGGCCGAGCGTGGCCGCCGTGGCGCCCCCAGGGCTGCCGTTGGGCAATCCTTGGAGGCCGGGGATGGGCTGCAGGGTCACATTGCCCAGGCCCACGGGCTGCAGGAAGGGCTGGACGCTCAGGGCTTTGTTGACCACGTCCTGGGGCGGCACCAGGGCCTGGTGGGTCAGTACGGTCGGCGGGGCCTGCAGCCCCAGCAGGTCGGGGCCGCCCGGGAAGAGGGCCTGGGGCCCCGCGGCCACGGCGGCAGCCCCTCCGGCCCCCGCCGGGCCCGCCCCGCCATCCGCGGGCTGCAGAGTGGGCAGCTGGAAGGGCCCCAGGTCCAGCTCGGCCTCAGCTTCGAGCGTCTGCTCGGTGATGTTGGCCTCTTGGAGGCTCTGCTGGAGGATGTCACAGGGCTGATCAGCGCCTCCGCCGCCCCCGCCACCGCCCCCCGCGGCCGGTGAGCCCAGAATGTCATCTTCCAGGAAGTCGAGGTCCACGCTGGGGGCCGGCTGGCTGGGCTCCGGGTTCAAGTGGTTGCCAGAAGCTTCTTGCACATGGAGCTAGAGCCAGGTAAGGGGGGAAGGAAAGAGCTGAGGTTAGCAAGGGGTCGGGCTCAGCTCAGGTGCAGCAAGGGACACTGGATGTGAAGGTGGCACGGTCAGAAAGAACATTCCATCTGGAAGTGGCTGGACCTGGGGTCAAATGCCAGCTCCGCCAGGGCTTAGCTGAGTAACCTGGGCCTTGCTGAATATGAACTTTTTCATCTGTACACATAAGTAGAATGTAATAACACTCTTTTTTTTAGTGAGGAAGATTGGCCCTGAGCTAACATCTGTGCCCATCTTCCTCCACTTTATATGTGGGACGCCGCCACAGCATGGCTTGATGAGTGGTACGTGGGTCTGCACCTGGGATCCGAACCCACGAACCCTGGGCCGCCGAAGTGGAGTGTGTGAACTTAACCACTATGCCACCGGGCCGGCCCCTAAAACCCGTTTTTTAAACAGCCCTACGGGCCCATAATACTTATCTGCAATTCCAAAACCCAAAAGGCTCTGAAAACCGGACATGTTTTTATAACTCTTTTGGCAGCAAAACCCGACCAGCATTGATGTGGCACTCTCAGGGAAAGGTGCGATTGATCCTCGTGACGTGACTCTTCCTAAGCGTGACCATGGGAAGGTGAGGGAGTGTTATGTTAGACGCAGCACACACACATTCCCGCATCACCTTTCCAGAATCTAAAAAATCCTGAATTCCGAAACACACCTGGCCCCAAAGCTTTCGGATAAAAGATGGTGGTTCTGTTAAAAACAGCAGCAGAAGCAGTGACCGTATGCGAGTCTCACTTTGTGCCAACTGCGCTGTCGGTTTGCTGTTTCTTAAATGCGTTCCATGCTGTTCTGGATCACGATCCAGGACAAGTCTACAGAATCGATTTATGTATGCATATTTGACCTAATATTCCACAAGCAATAATCATGCTGAAGGCACGGAATACCCGCTGATATTTAACCAAATATTGGACCAAAATTTGTAGTTTGTATGATTCTGAGTTAATCCATGTGGAGGGCTCACGGCAGGACCTGGCAGCTAGCTAGTGTGTGAGAAATATCATCCATCATTATTATTGTCATTATTATTACTGTCTACATTGTTGTTGTTAGTAACAGTCCAGGGAGGCAGGCACAGCTCCCAGTCTCATTTCCCACACGGGGAGACTCCCAGGTCACCCAGCTGCTGAGTGGAGGGGAGCATCTGGAAGGGCAGGGGGCCCTGCTCGGCCCCCCACCGAGGACTAGGTGGTTCTGAGTTCTTTAACCGCTAACTGGCCATAACCAAACGCGCCACCCAGGACAGTCATGATATTCACTGAGGTCACGTACGGGAGGCGCTTAGAACCCGACCAGGGACCTTACGGGAATTAAAAAATGACAACAATGAGACGAATAATGACCACAAACTAAGAACACAGGCTCCTCGTTGTTCCTGGCTCTATGAATGTAATAACACGAATGTGATACTTATTTGTTGGGTTCTGGATTTAATCATTTATATTATGCAAGATAAATTATTTGGAATATATTATTATAGTTGTTGCGAGAATTAAATAAAAATTGCCCTAAAGAGCATGGCATACGGCAAGTGTTCAGTAAATGATGGTTATGATGACAAGGGGGAGGAGGGGAGGGGGAGGAAGGGGAACAGAGAGGAGGAAGAAGAGGGAAGGACAAGTGAGACTTAATAATGGGCCCGGCCCAGTCAGGTACATAGTGGGTGCTCAATGAATGTCCTGTGTTCCCCACTCTGGGCTTTGCTCGTCACCCCGCCTTCATTTTCCAGGTGGAGACGGAGGTCTGCGGGTGAGGCGCTCCCCCTTCCCCGGGTCACACGCCCCCATGGCTGAGCCTGGACAGGCCCCCAGGCCCCCACACCCCCTGGTGACCCCTGGGCCGGCCTCTGCCTCAGCTCCCCAGAACTGCTCTGCACCAGCTGACCCCCAAGGCTAGGGACCCAGGACCCTCCCCTCCCTCTCGGAGGGGCCTGCGGGCACAGCCAGGGTGGTCCAGCAGCCACGGTCCCACCTTCCCTCCACGCTGCTCTCAGTGACGGCCTCCTGCCCTCCCCCCAGCAAAGTGTCTCGGGGGGGCGAGCACGACTCCTCCCCTCTTGCCCCCCGATGCCACCTCAGGCAACTTGGGCGATGACGGGGAGCCCGCGCCCTCCCCGGGCCCCAGGCCACTTACCCCCGGACCTTCATAGAAGGCACTTTGGGCCTCCCCGGGGTTATCCAGGAGGTCATCACTGTCCAGCTGCAACAAGACCCCCCCACCCAAGGTCAAAGGTGAGCTGGGCAATGGGCAGGCCCACGCTCTAGAAGAGAAACCAATTGAGGGGTTACATAGGACCAAAAGACAGATGCAGTGGGGGGGCAAGGGGTACAAGAAACTCCGTCTCCAGAAAAGAGTCCCAAAGAAAGGGGCGTGGCAGTGCGTTTAAAACCCAAGGCCAGGGGGCCGGCCAGGTGGCGCAAGCGGTTAAGTGCGTGCACTCTGCTTCGGTGGCCCGGGGTTCACAGGTTCGGATCCCGGGCGCGCACTGACGCAGCACCGCTTGGCAAGGCATGCTGTGGTAGCGTCCCATGTAAAGTGGAGGAAGATGGGCACGGATGTTAGCCCAGGGCCAGTCTTCCTCAGCAAAAAAAAAAACCCAAGGCGGCCCCCACACTGAGGCCGAGGCTTCCCCAACATGCCTGCCTCTCAAATCCTGCCTCCGTGCCTTTGCCCAAGCTGTGCCCTCTGCCTTTCGCCCTTCATCTCTTTGGTGACACGTCCGTCAGGACCTGTCACATATGCCACTTCCTGGATCTCACTCCAGAACCCCAGACTGCTTTCTCCAACAGTTCCCCTTGGGCTTCTGGAATGCGCCCCCAACTCCCAATCTCAGAAAATGGTACGACAGCCCATGCCGTTGCTCAGGCCAAAATCCGGGAGGCACTCTGGACACTCTCTCTTCCTCGACACCTAACCCACCAGCAAGTCAAGCTGATTCGGCCTCCCAGAGGGGTCCCAAAGCCAGCGCCTAGCACCTCCTCCAACACCTGCCCTGCGGCCAGGCCGCCATCACCCCATGGCGCTCGCCTCCGCTCCACATTTGATGCTTTTCCTTTCAAGAAGAGGAGCTCCTTCCCCTCCCTCTGAGTGTGGGCCGGCTTAGTGACTCGCTTCTAAGAAGTGACAGTGGGTGACTTCAGAGACTGGCCACGAAAAGCACAGAGTGTCCCCCTGGCTCTCTCCCTTGGGTCACATGGAGCCAGCCGCCGTGTCATGGGGACGTTCAAGCAGCCCCACACAGAGGCCCACGTGCGGAGCCTCCAGCCAACAGCCAAGGGCATGAGTCATTGTGGAAGCAGGTCCTCCAGCCCCAGACAAGCCCTCGGATGACAGCAGTCCCAGAAAACATCCTGACGGCAACCTCAGGAGAGACCCGGAGCCAGAACACCCAGCTAAGCGGCTCCTCGATGCCTGACCCTCAGAAACTGTGCGAGCGCTAACAAACTGAAGTCACTAAGTGGTGGGATAATTTGTTACCCAGCTGTAGATAACTGATACACCTCCTCTCAGCTCAGCAGACTTCCACTCTCCCCCACTTTGCTCCATTCTTTGGGGTGCAAAGCAAATATGGCTTTCTCCCACTTAATAGCGCATCAGAGCTGCCTGTCACGCTCAGAATAAAATCTAAGCTCTTCCATCAGGGTCTTCCAGGCCCTGTACGAGCTGGTGACCTTTGTCCACTCCAGTCTCAGCACCTACTAGGTTCCCCTTCAGTCTGGCCCCTTAGGCGTTTTTTTCTGTTCCTCACACATGCCAAGCTCTTCCCTGCCTTTCTACCTGCTCCTCCCCTGCCTGGAGCACCATGGGCACCTCCCTTTGATCCTTCAGGGTAACCTTCAATGTCACCTCCTCAGAGTCACCCTCCCTGGCCACATTAGCTAAAGGAGCCCCAGCCCCCCCATGCCCCATCCATTTTCTTTTAAACCTCTTTTGTTGTACAAGTGATGTTATTATTTCTTATCCTATCCTGCATGGTGCTTTCCACTGTCGCCTGTATTAGTTTATCGGATGCTTTGTTTAACGAGGAAATATATACGGTGTGAGGGCAGGGATCTGCTATCTCTTTTGCCCTCCCCCATAACCCCAGTGCCCACCTCACAGAAGGCACGGGGCAGACATCTATGGAATTGGGGGACATGTCTCCCAGTTCCCAAGTCCACAGCCCCCTATTCCCTGCCCCAGCACTCACCTTCTCGGATCCATGTAAGAAGTCATTGAGGGCCTGAGGGTCACTGAAAGAGAGAAGGGGAGAGACACTGAGGAGGTGAGGGGTGGGGAAGGGAGGGAGGGAGAGGGTGAGGGGGAGCCCATTACTCACCAAATCACGTCTAGTAAGCATCTCCCGTCCTCATCATCCATCGCCACTGGGTGGGGCAGGGCGGGAAGAGGGCAAGGGAGACAAGGTTAGATTTCGGCCGCATGCTAGGACCCTCCGTTCAAGGACCATTCCCAGGGCCAAGGCCCTGGAGGGCTCAGGTTTCTGTTCCCTCGAGTCCATGGGCTTGGGTGGGGGCGGGGATCACCTCCCTGCAGAACCTCCTGACCGGGGACAGCTGCCTTTCCAACTCCTCCCTCCCTCTCTCTCTTTCCCCAGCATCCGATGATGACAACGATGATGACATCAACTGAGACCACGTGAGCCCTGATCACGTGCAGGCCCCGTGCTCAGTGCTTCATGCCACTTAACTCATTTAATCCTCAGGGTATCCCCGAGGAGGGTCCCGCCATCCCCACTTTGCAGATGGGTAAACAGAGGTGCAGAGACCATCATTCTCTGTCTCCCAGATGGAAGGTGGTGGAGCGGGGCCTCGAACCCGGGCAGTCTGGCTCCTGAGCCTGTACCCTTCACCGCCATGCTGTCCTGCCTCCCTGAGCACAGGGCCTGGCCCAGAGCGGGCTGTGGTGGGCGTGGGTCCCACACCTGAGCGGGTGAAGGAGCGAGGAGGGGTGGAGGCAGCATGAAGGGCCTTACAGCCCAGGGTCTGGGTCCCCCTGAAGACGTGTGCAGTGTGGCTCTCAAGGAAGGGGAGAGAGAGGGCGAGGGACCAGGAGAAAGGGTGGTCTGGGTCAGAGGAGCCGCGGAGCCAGGCTGAGGCCATCACAATGATGAGGACGAGGATGGCTGATGTTTGTGCAGTGCGTACCACGCGCCAGGCACCGTCCCAAGCACTGCACAAATGTTAGTCTGTGCAGCCCCCGTGGGGAAGGGATGCTGTTAGCCCTGTTTACAGATGAGGAGACTGAAGTTTTCTGTATGTGCCCACCCCCCCATCTGACCTTCCATCCCTCTAAACGTCCCTCCAAGCTGCCATGCACCCACCTTCCCAAACTTCCATCCAACCATCCATCTCTCCCTTCTTCCAAACACACAAACTGAGCCATCCTTCCACCTGCTCATCCTTCCCTCCCAATGGTGCACGCAGGACACAATGAGAAATCAGATGCGATCCCTCAGAGATACAAGCTTACAGCCCAGGGCCGTGGAGCTCTGACCCTCTTTTTGTGTGTGTGTGGGGGGGCCCTGAACCTCACTGAGAATGTGGTGACTGTCGTGGATTCTCCTCCCCGCAAACCACACACACACAAAGTCACACACGTGCCCTCAGCTGGTTCACAGCCCCACACCCCTGATGGCATCCTCTGGAGGCCCCTGCTCATGACCTCCTGATTGCTACCCCTCCCATTACCCGCGACCGCTCTGCGACATAAAGGAGAGTCTTGGGCAGACCTCTCGTGGTGGTTGAGGGTCTTCCCGGAACGGCGCCTTGGGGAATCTGATGAGAGCAAAGCCCCTCTGGCCAGACACACGCGTGTGGGCAGAAAGCATTGCACTGACTTTCCCAGGGTTCCTGGGACACAAACGTACACACATGCACACACCCCATGGGGCCTGGGTTGACAAGCCCTGGTCTACAAGAGGGCATGCGACACAGACAGAAACACCAATCACGCTCCCTCCCAGACTGGCCGTGGGGACCGTCCCCAGGGAGGCCCTTCCAAGGCGCTGGCTGCATTTGACGGTGGTGACAGCATGCTCTCTCTGGCTCCGTATCCCAGCCCCACCTACGCTTCCTTCTTCCCGTGTCACCAGGTGCGTGGCCTACAAGCCGGAGCTTCCCAACCAGCCCACAGGGGGCAAGGCCCAGCCAGGGGAGGAAAAGGCGAGAGCTGCAGAGAATCGGGAGGAAAGGGGAAAGTGGGCATGGAGGCAGGGGGACGCCCCAAATGACCCCGGGGCCCCAGGCTGGAGGGGGAGGGGCTGAAGGACGTTGCTAAGCCCGGCTCTGCCAGGAAGGAACGCTGCTTCCTCGGCGGGGGGCCGAGGTGGGCCCAGGGAGGTGGGATGAGGGACAACTGCCCCCCCCGAAGGAACTGGGGCTCCCCGCTGGTTACCTGCGCTACAAACGAATCATGAAGGGAAGGAGGGGGTGTCCACTCCAGGTCTACGCGGGGCCCCCAGCTGGGGACTTGGGGAGTGTCCTTTCGGGAGCCAGCTGTGGAGAGAGGACGAGAGAGAGGCTGTGAGTGAGCGGGAGAAAGACGGAGCCAGAGAGAGAGAGAGACAGAGAGACAGAGAGAGACAGAGACAGAGAGACAGAGATGAGACAGAGATAGAGGCAGAGAGAGAGACGGGAAGGGCTGAAGAGGTGATGTGAGCAGGGAAGTGAGAAAGGAGAGGCCAAATTTACATTTAATTTAATTTAATTAACTAAACAATTAATTTAATTTAAAACCACATAAAACAACACTAGACATTTTCATATACACGATATGTATATATACACATATCTACACACACTATACTACAGTGTAACATGATACGATATCATTTATGGGCATTTCCACCTAACAAAACACGGCCGGTCCCCGTTGTTTGTAGTGCTCATGTTCTATAAAGTTGCTGCGAACACACGATGACAGACACCAAGCCACTGCTCCTGGGGCGACACAGGGTTAGGCTCCTGAGAGCTTCTGGTGATATTTTCATCAACCGATCAATACACACCCTTGGTCTACTGGTTTCCGTGTAAAGACACCTTATTCAATACACACTGTTGATTTATTGCCATTGAACACACAGCCAACAGCACAAGGCTCATCTAACACACGTGTTTGCTCCACGGGGCACATCGCAGCCTTCCTGCGCTTAGGAACACTGGAAAACACCTGAGTGCCACGCAGTGGGGCCATTTTAAAATGGTGAAATCACCCACAAAAAGCACAAAAATGCAAACAAACGTGGCCCTACAGTGACCACAAGAAGGACGCTTGTTTAGAGCAGGAGAGCGGAGATGAGAAGGCAGAGCATCGCCTGCTCAGCCTCAGCTGGGAACGTGGGCGACTTGAACGTCTCACCTCTGCACACGTCTGCACACGACCAGGAAAAGCACCGGGAATGCTGATTTGGGGTTACAAATGGTAGCGAGTAGGCGAACGCGCACATATGGAATCCGCGAATAAGGAGGATCGACTGTGATGACGACGACGGGTCACACTGACCGAGGGCCCTCTGTGTGTCGGCCACTGGTTTTAACAACTCTACACGTATTAACCTGTCTCACCTTCTCTAAATCCCTATGAGGCAGGTACTTCTATCAGCCCCATTGGGCAGATGAGGCAGCTGACACTCTGAATGGTTAGCAATATGCCCAAGATCCCTCAGCTGGTGCCCAGGCTGGGATCTGAGACAAGACAGGCTACCTCCAGAGTCCCCACCCTGACCACTATCCCAGATGATCCGCTCATTATATTGTTCCTCTTTTAAAATCTGAAGCAAATATGGCAAAAATGTCCAAGATAAAAAGCTGGGTTAGCAGCCGGCCCAGTGGCGCAGTGGTTAAGTTCGTGCACTCTGCTTCAGGGGCCCGGGGTTCGCAGGTTCGGATCCTGGGCGCGGACCTACTCACCGCTCATCAAGCCATGCGGAGGCGGCGTCCCACATAGAGGAACTAGAAGGACCTACAACTAGGATACACAACTATGTACTGGGGCTTTGGGGAGAAAAAAGAAAAAGAGGAAGATTGGCAACAGATGTTAGCGCAGGGCCAAACTTCCTGAAAAAAAAAAAAAAAGAGCTGGGTGACGGCATACAGGCCTTTGTTACCGTTTTATAAATGCTTGGAATAGTTCAGATATGAAAAAGTGATAGAGAAAGTGGCACGGAAGAGAGAGGAGGAATGGGAGCATCGAGCGGCTTCCCTTCTTCCTCGAGCGTCCCAGGCCCTGGAGAGATCTAGAAAGCATCTGTCACAAGACCCTGGAACACGGTACCCTGTCCCATCTAGATTCCAGGTGCACTGCCCCGGCCTGGAGGGTGGCACCAGCTTCCAGATGGTTCTTCCCTCCTTCCTGCCTTGAGTTTCAGGTGTGGCTCATGCTCTGCAAACTCTGGACCAGCAGAATCAGAACCAGGAGGGGTGCTTCCTGAACAAGCTTCTCCAAATGGGGTCCGCAGGTGAATGCCCGGTGGGAGGCTCCGGACTTCTCCGTGAGAAGCCTTTATTTGTGCGTTTTCGTTCCGATGATACCAGAGAAATAAATGGGGGAGATTGTGATGGGGTGTCAGTTACCTGAGGGTTTAAAATTTTTTTTTTTTTAAAGATTTTATTTATTCACTTTTTTTCCCCCCAAAGCCCCAGTAGACAGTTGTATGTCATAGGTTCACATCCTTCTAGTTGCCGTACGTGGGACTCGGCCTCGGGTTGGACGGAGAAGTGGTGCACTGGTGCGCGCCCGGGATCCGAACCCGGGCCGCCAGCATCAGAGCGCGCGCACTTAACCGCTAAGCCACGGAGCCGGCCCATGAGGGTTTAAAATTTAACAGCTCAGATGTGTGCATTTCAACGCATGTAAATTTTACCTTAAAAAACTGTAGAAAATAAATCATTGAGTGGTGGGGGGGGTTCACTGTCTGAAACACGAATGGCAAAATGTTGATAACTATTAAAGCCGGATGATAGGTACCTGGGGGCTTCATCACACCGTTCTAGGTACTTGGTATATTTTTGAAAGTTTCCATAATAAAGAGAGAATAATATGTCAATGATCAACAGGTCTGGGCTCCTCTGAGATGGGTCCCCCATTCAGGCACCCAGGTTGGTGTCTATGTCTCTTCTTGAGTTGATGCCAAGAGGTCCAGCGTGGGGTGACAGCTCTGAGGTTGGAGTCAGCGGGTCAAATCCCGCTTCCCCACACACCGGCTGGGTGATCTTGGGCAAGTGACTTTGCCTCTCTGGGCCTCAGTGTGCTCATCTGTAAAATGGGCATAATCATAGTCCCTGTTAACGCTCATATGGCGGTGGAGAGGCTCTTAGAAAAGGTCTGGCCTGTGGTCTGTGCACAACAGACGCTGGTATCAATATTACTGGCATCGATATTATTATTTTGTGAGAACTACTACACGTTGCTGGCTAATGAGAAAGGGTCGGAGGTGCAGAGGCCTCCGGGTTCCGTCCTCTGCCCCCTAGTCTCATCTCCACACAGTCTCCCTGATTCTCAGGACCTGGATCTAAAAGGTCAGAAATCAGGAGAGGGGCCAGGATGGCTCAACGCAGCCGAGTCAGAGCAGCCGGCATCTACCAAGCTGGCGCGCATGCGTGGCCCGCGAGGGCCCCTGGTGGGCATGCGGCGCACCGGACTAAGAGAGCCCTTTGCTGGAGAGGCCGGGTGGCGCGTGGGTCAGAGCAGGCCGTCCTGGCGCTGCCACTTCCCAGCTGTGTGCCCTCCGTCTGACAAGTTACTTATCCCCCCATGCCTCAGTTTCCCCATCTGGAAAATGGGGATAACACAATGTCCCCCCTCAAAGGATTGTTACATACGAACACCTTTAATCTTCACGTGTCGTAAATTATTTGGCAAGCGATCTATACTGCTGTAATCATTTTAATTGTCATTGTGAATATTATCTCGTGTGGCAACTCCCAAAGCTTTCTGGCCATAGTCCAGCCAGGAGGGACAAAAGTCCCCAGGCCTCAGCTGTTACACCTGGTGCATTTAGCCACGTGTGACCCTTGAGCACGTTCAGAAGGGTTTCTGTATCATCTGCTCCAGCCCTGGGTTATGCACAAGGGCCTACTTAAACCGGCAGGCACCAAGTCTCCTTGAATCCTTGGGTCTAAGAAACGGTGTATAAAATTCAGGGTGTAATAATGGCATCGTGTTCTTTTTTTTTTTCTTTAGAGTTCTTATTTTTTACAAACACTTCCTGAAATATTTAGGGGTGAAATGATAAAATGTCTGTGATTTACTGCAAAATAATCCAGTTGTGGGCGTTCAGGGGGCACAGAGACCTGCGCTGTCCAGTATGGTAACCGCTAGCCACACGCGGGTATGTACATTTAAGTTCAAGTTAATCAAATGAAATTAGGCCAAAGGACTTGAACAGACACTACCCCAAAGAAGATACACAAATGGCCATCAGCACATGAACAGATGCTCCACATCACTGGTTATTAGGGAAATGCAATCAGAACCACAGACACCACCTCACACCCATGAGGACGGCTACTGTCAAAACAGCAGAGGATAAGCGTTGTGGAGGATGTGGAGAGATTGGAACCCCTGTGCACTGCTGGTGGGAATGCAAAATGGTGCAGCTGCTGTGGAGAACAGTTTAGCAGTTCCTCAAAAAATTAAAAATAGAATTACCATATGATCCAGCAATTCCACTTCTGGGTATTTACCCAAAGGAACGGAAAGCAGGGTCTCGGCGAGGCATTGGTACCCCCACGTTCACAGCAGCGTGATTCGCAATAGCCACAAGAAGGAAGCAACCCAAGTGTCCACTGATGGATGAATGGATAAGCAAAATGTATACAGACAATGGAATATTATTCAAGAAGGAAATTCTGACACAGGCTACAACATGGATGACCTTTGAGGATATTATGCTTAGTGAAAGGAGCCAGTCACAAAAAGATAAATACTGTATGACTCCCCTCATGACATACAGAGGGACAGACAGCAGGACGGTGGCTGCCAGGGGCCGGGGGAAGGGGGAATGGGGACTTGTCAGTTCACGGTGCAGAGTTTCAGTTCTGCAAGATGAAGAGAGTTCTGGAGATGGATGGTGGTGACGGTTGCACAACAGTGTGCGTGTACTTAATGCCAGTGAACTGTACACTGAAAAATGGCTAAGATCATACATTTTATGTTTTGTGTATTTTATCACAATAAAAAAATTTGAAAAAAAGGACAATTGGGAATATCGAAGTTTTAAATAAAAAATACTTACATTAAAAAATGAAATGAAATTAAACATTTAGTTCTCAGTCAAGCTGGCCAGAGGTCGAGTGCTCAAAAGCCACCCGTGGCTGGTGGCTGCCACAGGGGACAGCACAGACACAGCACATTTCCCTGGTGGCAGAAAGCTCTCCTGGGCAGTGCTGGTCTGCAGAGTGGCAGACAACTGAATCCTGGTGGAGTTGGTGATGGGGAGGGGGGGGGTCCCCGTTTTACTGTTCTCTCTACTTGGTGCACATTTGGAATTTTCCAT